CATCAAAATTGTAAAGAGTACCAATTAGTTATAATAAATTTAATTTTTATGTTTTAGGGACTAAACTGCTGAAGAAGAGAGTTCGGGGACTAAATTAAAGATGCAAATGGGGAAACCAAATATTCAAAATTGGACCTATCCAGGACCCAGAAGACATAAAAATAAAAATAAAAAAAAAAGAGAGGGGCATTAAACCCAATTCGGTGAGCTCACAACAAAATCAAAGACACAAAACCCTTCGGCCATCTTCTTGTAGCCAAGAACCAATCTTTTTGTCCCCCCGCATTTTCTCAGCTCAACCGTAAGGGTATGAGAAGATGAACTGCATTGTTTAAAATGGATTGTAGATCTCTGTCATATTGTTTTATTTTATTTTATTTTTTTATGAATAATACAATAAAAAATAACTTCTTTTTTTTTTTTTTAAGTATCTCAAATTTTAAATTCAAGATTTTTAACTTGGTATTTTATAATTTTAATTATTTCAAACATCCTTTTAAGATCATATTATTTTTGCTTCCTTTCGATTAAAGAGTCAATCATGACATGCGGAATTGTAACTAAATTATTTTCAATTAAAAAAACTTTGAAAGATTGGATAAAATATTTTGATTTTTATACACTTTTGGATATATATATGAAAAGTTTGCTGCATGGCAATTATGATACTCCCATCGAATATATGACTTTTTGGACATTAAAACTCATGGTGGAGTGAATTGATCTATCCGATTTGGAATGTTTGTCATTGCAAAGTTGAATATCAGTACCTAATTTAATTTAAATTAGAGGTGATTGCTATTGTTGCCTGTTGCAAAGATTTGAAATGAATGAGTTTAGACTCGTCAAAAATTGTGGCATGCATGGAATTCTCTACTAATGAATAATTTTTTTACAAAAGAGTAAATATTTCTATTTTTATAATTGTCAAAAGAATCAATTAATTAATTTCTTCAAAGAATGAAAGAATCAAAATTTACGAACAAACAAAACTTTTCAATCAGAAAAGCTTGCTTGCAAATTCATCAATGGCGCTTCCTTCAATGCGAGAGTACGTTGATTTCTTTGCAAGTTCTTTAAGCTGAGATAAGCTCCTCCCCAGCTGCAATCCCACCTTCATTTCGAACAACTCTCCATTTTCTCTTCTTTCCTCATCACTTTCATCAAGTGTGGATTCAATCGTTTCCTCCATAAGTGTAAAGAATCCGGCGCAATTTCGGTACATCTCGAACACCATACCAACTTGACCACCGTGCTCCAGGGTGCTCACGGTGGTGGCTAAAGCTCCGGCTACAGCAGCCATTGTTGCCGCCCATGAACCACCGTGAGCAGAGCCTATAGCTGCAATGCTGGTGAGTAAAGGGCCGGATACTGCTAAAATCTTGTTTATCTTCAATGCTATATTGCCGAGTCTCTCGTAATCTTCTATGTCTTTTCTCTTGATGACATTCACAATTTCTCTCATTTCCATTTCCAGAGCTGAATTCCATCCATTATGCTCTGTTTTCCCTATTTTACTCTGTTTCCGTTCTCTATTCTGAGATTTTCTCGGCCACCAAACAGCAGGCGAGAAAGTTTTAGGGAATTTTTCGAGCATTGCTCCGAGCAAGGGAAGTGGGAAAGCTTTATCCAGAGCCAAAACTTTCTCCATGGCATCCTTAACGTCTTCTTTGGTAGGAGAACCGAGAGCTAGTTGAGTTTGGATTTGACGCTGGAGCTGCTTAAATAATCTCGTAGCGTTTCTTTGCTCTTCTACTAGCTGTGAAGGCTGGATTTTGTTCATCAAAACCAACATCCCTGTTGCGGCCGAGAACAAGATGGTGGATGCCAAATTCAACCCCAAAATTGAACCACCTTCACAACCAGCGCCAGTTGCGGCGACGCCGGCCATGGTGGTGGCGGTGAGGGTGATCATGTTGATGGAGTTTAGGAGAAGGGTGTTCCAGTTCTCCCTCTGCTCGCCGATGTTGTGGTGCATTTCCACCCTGTCAGCTACTGCTTCCAATACAGCATATAGCTCTAACGTTGCAATAGAAGCACTTGCAGAGGTTTCTTGATCCTTTGACCTTGTGACGGGGACAGTGACATTGTTTTCCATGCTCCGGAACCCATCTCCGATTCTCAATCCCTCAATCAATTCTTTCGAGGGAATACTCTG